TAAACTTTAATTTGAAAGAAAGTGGAAAGCAAAACGAACTAGAAAGTCAAATTGGGAACATATCATCGGCAACATGCTTTCCAGTTCAAATAAATTCTCATTCCCAATACTAATCCAACCTAAACATAAAAAATGCACACAGGTCCAATCACTCTCTCTATCACTTTTAACATCATTTCCCGTTCTGCCATTAGGAACCCTCTAACAAAGGCCATTAAAGCAACATCCTACACAAAAGAACAGAATCACCTTACCATGAAACTTGAATTCTCTTCCTCTCCATATTCAATTTCCATCACTGAGCTAACTAGTTTTCTTGCCAGTAAATTTGATTGTAAAAAGCAATACGTTGTTGCTAAAGTTTCATGTGGAGTGCAACAAATATTTGGAGCTGCTGATGACTATGACAATACTGTTTTCACAAATTTACGTTCCTATGCAAATACCTATCAAGCAGAACTTGACAAGATTTCAATTGCTGGTAGCAACATGGTTGTTCCTAATTTACCAGCTATTGAACCTATTAATGGAGTCTTAATGATTGACATTACAGTGTTACAATAAATTTAGTTAGATGAAATTGATGATGGCTTAGACGAAACTAACCGATTGTTTCCTTTCTAATCTTATGGAGTCTTGTTAGTGCTTGGCCACCTGTCTAACATATTTCACATTCAAAATTTATAATTTTCAAAAACATTTTAATTAAAAAATTCAGAAGATGATCCTTACTGATTTACCTTCCGAAATTTTATTACACATCACCTCATACAGTCACGATCCGTATCATCTCCACAATAACATTTTCCAATTTCGATCGGTTTGTACATCATTCTACCACATTACTGAGACGGAGGTATTTTGGAAGCATTTGGTGAGGAATCAATTAGCTGCTGGTTTTGAATTACATATTTGGCTTCATGATTTAGAATTGCGTACCAGAACACAAGGTGGTTATACAGGCATAATTGAACAGGATGATTTTATTACAATTACCAAGGGTTGGATTGATAAATTGGTGGAATTTCCAGACAATATGGTTATAAAGTTTCTTGTTAGATTGGCCATCGGAGAGGATAATCTTTCATATTTTGGATCAGTTAGAGTATCGACATGTATTAGGTATTTGTTTGGCAAATTATTTGAACCATGTTGAAATTAATTGGGTCAATAATTGGGGATAATCAAAATGTTGAGAAGGTTGTTTGACCGAGTGATGTTTTTAATATGAATATAGCAGAGTTTTTAGCCAATGATGAGTACATGTCCCTACCATTGGTAAGTCATTGGATTGAAGTGGACTATTTCAATAGTAGTTTAATTCCGAGACAATACTTGATCTGGATTGTGCAATACCTTTCAGGTATGAAAATCAAATATTTAAATAGTGAAATCAATGCTGCTGTTTGGGTATGTGATTTTTTGGAAAATACTATTGGATTACAAGTAACAAGCATGAAATTCGTGAATCAATTGTCCAAAGGAAAGAATTTTGAAAGGGAAGAGTTTATCCCAATTTTCTCAACAGAATTTACGTTTCAATTCTTGGCTATTTGGATTGGAAATTTGGACTTGGTAAAGTGGTGTCTGGAATATCGTTCTGATAATGGAAACAATAGAATAGATACTCTATTGAGAACAGGAATTCTTGAAGGAGAGCCATCCAGCTATAACATAGTATCTTCATACGGGGCTTGCTACAAGAGAGATGGGGCTGGACTAAACATTTTACATTACGCAATTAGAGGAAAGAATGTGGAGATTGTGAAATTATTGATCGAAAAGTACAAAGCCAATCCATTTCAATCTCAATTAATCTCTCCCGCACTTCTTGCATACAGAATGTACACTGCAGCACCCAAAGACGAGCCTTCCAACAAGATTTACAATCTATTGAAAGAAACCTACAAAGAACATCTGGAAAACCATGTCGAATCGAATAAGAATATATTCGATGAGGCGAACATGAAAATTTTTGATTTGGATGAAACAGAGGAAGACGATTTAGAAAAGTTACAAATTGATAAGGGTCCAAATGGAATCCCTCTCAACAAGAATGTGTTGTTAGAAAGAGATTACTATATTGATGAAGGGCTTTCAGATTCTGATGAAGAGTTAGAAGTTAGTGATGAAGATGAAGAGGAGGAATTTATTGATATCAAAACAATAAGATCTAAAATTCATAATGTTGACAGTGAAGATCCTTGGGTACAGTGTGTAGAAACTGAAAAAGAATTATCCAAAAACATTACTGATCTATTGAAGGATACAGAAATAGTACAAGCTAGACATGATTTCATAGATGTTTATCCTTCAGTTCGTATTGGAAAACGTATAGGACTAGAAGAAAACAACAAGAAGAGAGCATTCGAGGCTGGAGAAGGTAATGAATATGAACCTAAATTCAAGAAAAGAAAGGAAATGATAATTCCCAAAGCATTTTTTAATGGATTGACGAAAGTCATTTTAGGAAGTTATAGATTTGATACCATTATTAGTCCATCATCACAGGCAATTATGCAACAGGAAATAGAAAGACTTTGCATTGAATTATTCAATTTAACATCTGAAATTTGCAAATTTTTCATGACGGACTTGTGTTTGAAGAATTTTATATTGGTAGCTTTCAATGCATATAATGGATGTTTTAAGGAAAGTTCAATTGATGAAGAAGCTCTAAAGAATCATTTATCTTCCCTTTCAATGAAGGAGATTAGCTCTGAAAACATTACTAGTATAGTTACTGAAATTAATGAACAAAATCTCATGTTGTCAATTAATTACGACACTGATGAAGATGATCCTGACTTTGAAATTGAGTTTGATGATCCAAATGATAGAGTATTGTTTGGAATTCAATCGGAGAGCAATATAAATCAGACCAAAGAAGAAAGTCCAAAGGACGATGGGTATGAATCAGATTGGTCTGATGAAAGTGAAATTGGTATCGAAATTAGCGAAAATAACGATTTTATATTCTATCCCTCATCTATTGACCAGATAGAAAGTGAAAGGCCTCTCTCAGAAACTATTCTTGGTGATGAATATGCTATCAAGTATGAATCTATTCAGAAAGATGGAAAGTATGGTTTTAATATTTATTCTAAAGATACACATTTAGTCA